AAACTCAACAACAAGAGTTTCGACGGTTGTTCTAATGAGATGAACGTCGGATTACGCCACCACTTCTTCGTCAGAGAAGCTAGTCCCCAACGGAGTCGCCATCTTTTGTTTGTGGAAAATTTTGCAGTAAAAGAAGCGAAGAAAAATTGATTTGTATTCCTTTAATCTCAATTACAATTGGATTTCTTGATTACAAAAGAGAGGAGAATTAATCTGGATTCTCCCCTTTGTTTAATTCTGGGTTCTTCACAGTGGTGATGGAATGCCTCCCTCGAATGCTCGCGTCGAGTTTGCTCTCCGTTGACGATCCGAACGTCTTAATTCACTAGAATAGTATCTCCTCCTCACGATTTGATGCTGTGGAGAACTTGCAAAGCAAGTTTTTTTGAACTCTTGATGAGTTGATTGATCTTAACCGTAATTGGTTAGACAAGGCAAGGATCTCTTCTTTGCTGCCAAAAAGAAGGATGAAAGATCCAACCTCCAAAATCCAGAATCTGAACTAAGCTGATTTCTTAGTTATTTATAGGGGATTAAAAGGTGTAACCGCCCCCTTAATTCACTCCTAAGTGGGGCTAATGGGATGTAACCGCCCCTTAAATCACTCATGAGTGGAGTTGTGATCCCCTTAGATCGTGGGAAACGGTTTTGAAACTGTTCAGCTCGTGTTTGAACTAGTCAAACGCATAATCCGCGTTCTGGCATGAATTCTGCGTTCAAACGCAGTGTCTGGAAGTTCAGACGCAGTAATTTGGAAGCTGCATTGGCAGCGTTAGAAGCTGCTCGTGAGCTGCGTTTGCAGCAATTTGGAAGTTGCGTTTGGCAGCTTGGAAGCTGCGTTTGGCAGCGGATGGAAGCTGCGTTTGGCAGTGGATGAAAGCTGCGTTGGTAGCTTTCGGAGGCTGCGTTTGCGGCCGAACATGAGCTGCGTTGACAGCTAGATCTGAGCTGCATTTGCAGCGTTTAGAGCTGAATGTGAGGTGCGTCTGTAGCCAGGTTTGACTTGCGTCCGCAGTCGAATTGGTGTTGCGTCTTGATGATGGTACGTAGGGAGGACTTCCACGTCTTGGTTTGAAGAGACCGTCAATTTGTAATCTCTTTCTGTCGGAGCGTTGCAAAGATCGTTGTTTTGTAATCTTTGCTTTAGCTCTTTGATATGTGAGAGTCGTCAGATTGTATTAGGCAGTAAATCGGCTTTGGTGTCTGAGTTCGAATCCGTTATATGGTTGGATGACTCATTGACTCTTTGGACTGTTGGTTTGATTCCGCGTGCGAGTGGATTCATTCCGTCGTTCACGTGCGGTTCGTCAGCTTCGTAGCCTTGTTAATCCGCTTCGTTGTGATATGTGAGAGTCGTCAGATTGTAACTTTCGATGTTGATTGTGAAGGATGTTGATTAGAGCTTTCATCAGTTGTTGTGAAGGTTGTCAAATTGTAACCTTCATCAATCTACATGAAAGTCTTCAAATTGTAGCCTTCTGGAAGTCGTCAGATTGTAACTTCCATGATCCGTGTTTGATGGGGACTCAGCTATCTATTATGATTTTTAGACAGCCTACAGGTACCAAGGTCTAAGAGTTGATGGAGTGCCTTAGTTTTATCCTAAAAGGGTACAAAGATCTTTTAAGACAGCCGTGTTATTGTATGCCTTGGTTTTATCACGAGTGTGTACCAAGGTCTTAGAGTTGATAGAGTACATTGGTTTTATCTCGAAAGTGTATCATGGTCTTTCGAGTTGGCCATGTTGTTGTAAGCCTTGGTTTTATCCCGAGAGGCTACCAAGGTCATAAAGGCGATGGATTGCCTTTGTTTTATCCCAAAAGTATACCAAGATCTTTCGAGTCGGCTGACTAAGTTGCTAATGATTGGCCTTTCTGCCTTGGGTTTACTCGCAATGACACCATGGTCTTAGAGTTAGTGCCTTGGGCTTATATGATAATGATGACAAAGTCTTTTGAGCATGAGCCGGCCTAACAAGGGACGACTTGGCATCGTGTTTCTACGAAGGCTCTTGGTACTACAAAAACATTAACATAATAAAATTGTGAAGGCTTAAAAGATTTTATATCATATGTTAGTCTTATACTCAAAATTACTGAAAGTATTTTCTAAAGTTCTCTATTTACTAAGGATGTTGTCGAATCCTTTCATTGGAACTTCTCAGTCGATAAGTGCGTAGACGTACTTCCTTAATGATTGTATAAGGCCCTTCCTAAGTGGTGGTCAGCTTGCTGCGCCAGGCTTCTTTATCGAAAATGGCTTTTTGAAGAACCAGATCACCGACATTAAGCCTTTGGGGCCAAAACTTGCTATTGTATTGCCGAACATTGTGTTGTTGATTGCTGACTTGGGATCAAAGAGTTCCTCCCGAACTTCGTCGATGAGGTCAAACCCAATTTGAATCCCTTCTGAATTCAAGTCTTCATTAAAATGCTACAGTCGGATTGTTAGCATACTGATTTTAACTAGGGCTACTGCTTCAACTCCATAAGCTAGCTTGAAGGGGGTTTATCCCGTGGAGCTTTTATGAGTGTTGCGATTTGACCATAGGATACCCTTTTTAGCAACATGGTCTAAAAAGCGATGCCGATGAGGATAGAACCTAAAAAGTAACAAAGTTACCAACAAGGCATTTCTATCACCATGTTTATTATTTAAATAACAAAATTAATGGTTCTTTTTTTTTAATACCCCTTAAATCACCTATATTTATAGATTTACCCACTAAATTATGATATTTGCACAAAAAATTCAACTCCGACACCTTCCTTCCCTTCCACTCTCCCCACCATCTCATTCATCCTCCTCTCCACCTAATTTCCAACCTTCCTCTCTTTCCCACTCTCTCACCCATTTCATCCCAAAATCCTCACCGTCACCTCCTCTATCTCCTTCTCGAGCATTATCCCTCTTCTCCACCTTTCTCTCCTTGCTCCCTTCTCCTCATCTCCTCACTCATTCTCTTCATTCCTGCACTCAGTAAATGTTTGAGAGAAGAGAGGAGAGGAAGAAAGGAGAAGGGCGAGAAGGATAGAAGGACAAAGGAGAGAGTTTGAGAAGATAATTAAGGTTTGCACTGCAGGGAGAGAAGGAGGTGAGGGTGAGAATCTTCTCAACCTCTCTATCCCCTCTCCCCTCTCCTCCTCCCCCTCTCTCCTCCTTCCCTCATCTTTCTCTCCTCTATTCCCTCAAATATTTACCTAAAGCGCACGGGGAGGGAGGGGGGGAGTTGGGGGGTGGAGAGATGACTATTTTTACGAACGCTAAACTTCATGAGGAAAATTAATGAATATGGGAGAATTGAGAGGTTTATATGTAAAAACCTTTAATTTCTTTATTTAAATAAAACAAATCGATCGAGAATGCATTGTTGGTAAATTAGTTTACTTTTTTGCTAGGTTTTGTTATCGCTGGTGTCACGTTTTAGGTTTTGTTGGTTAAAGGATCATGTTTTATGCCAATCTTGTAATTTATACAGTTGAAATATGTAGATGAATTTTTTCAAACTATATTTATGATTCTTTTATGAGTTGAAATTTCTCCAAATAATTTTTTCTCTATCAATGAAGGGTACTGTAAATACTTAGAGTTGGATGACTTAACTAACACTAGTAGAAATAGGCTCATTCTTGACCGCACATTCATGACGGGAAATTTGCTGTCGTGGATGTAAGCATTTATGATGTCATGCGTTATCATAGAAGTTTAACATTCTTGATGGGTTTTTTCACATTCTTGACCGCGAAGCCATCATGGATAGAGTGGGTCCTACACTAATTTAATTGCCCGTTAGTAATGAGCTTTCCTATCTAATTCTTGACAGTTTTTCCCACACTGTGTGTGTAGAGATGTTAAATGGGTGGGTATGGGTTTAAATGGGCGGGCCATAAATGGGCGGGCATGTTTTGCCCATTTACCCATTTATGGCCCATTTAACATTATTTAAATGGGCGGGTTTTTGCCCGCCCATTTAATAAACGGGTCGCCCATTTGCCCATTTAACTATAGTACATATATATGTATAATATTTTTGGGGTGTTTTATGTAAACATTTAGGGGTTTTTTTTTTAAACTATTGTGGGCTTTTTGCAAACTTTTTGGGAGCTTTTTGCAAACTTGTTGGGGCTTTTGATAAAATACTAACAAAGATAGGAACATAAACAAAGATAAACAAATGCAGACAAATTCATGATTGAACCATTTACAAGCCTGGATAAAAGTACAAACCTCACACATTTGCAAAATTAACCTCAAATTTCCAAACCAAAAACCAAAAGATCAATAACAACAAAATTGCGAGTATATTTAAATGAATTAAGATAGAAAACACAAGGTATGCAAGGATCTGTATAAGATCAATAACTTGATATAAACGCCATCATAACTATCAGCAACACGATCACGATTAGTAAGGACAATCTACTTAATTACTTGATAAACTAGAAGAGTAGTAAGTTCGTCTATAAACAAAATAGTAGCACAACCATAGTCTACTTATTTCCCATCTTTCAAATGTTCAGGCATGAACAGTATAAACATATTACAGAATCAACCAAAATAAACAAAGATCAAAAGGGAGGGATTTATGGCCCATTCAGCAGCTTCAGCAACTTCAGCAGCAGCAGCAGCAGCAACAATCAGTTAACCAGTATATGCCAGAGTTGGAGCAATTTTTGAAACTTCAGTTAGAGGAGCAACATCATCTTCAACAGCTTCAAACCTGGCCCAGTTTCAAGCAATTGCCAAACACACCCTAAACAATCAAATAAGTTTCCTTTGTGTCTGATTTGTTGATAAAGTGTGAAGCAACGAAAAGAAAAATTAGTTTCAGATCCCTTTTGAATTGACTTACCTGAATTTAGTTATCCATTTAATATTTGCAAATATATAGGTTCAGTAGAAAAATGATGCTCACACAGGCACTCATCTGCCCACTTCACTTGTTAAGAAGACACGAGGAATAAAATTTGCAAGGATATGCATAGAAAAAAGAACAGAAAAACAAGGAAGGATTACCAATATGATGCAGTGTTCACAACAGAAGTTAACAAGATGCAAAGTTGCAAACAAAATGCCATTGAGCTCAAGAACAATGAAAGTTAGCAAGATGCCATTGCAAGTAACCCAAAATGCCTTTGAACCATGAGGACATCCATGAACAATCCCATCTTCTTTTCAATGACAATACCATGTCAGGATAAAGGAGAACATTTACATAGATAGCAGCAGTCAGGATAAAGGAGAACATTTACATAGATAGCAGCAGTCAGCAGTTATGAATGTGAAAGCAGGAAAACAACTCAAACAGCCAACCCCAAAGATTTGTAGAAGGACTTCAAGAGAGTGTTGACAATTACAGCATGGGTGGCTCTGGCTTCGAGAGGCGGTTGAGGCTGTTGAGCACCAGACTTAGAAAGTGATAACAAAGATGTGAGACAATTTGAAAAAAAGATAAGCATCTAGCAATACAGAATACGAATTATATATGCAAAAAGAATCAACATTTGTTGTTAGAATTAAAAAAGATGAAATGTGGCCGAGAAGTTCTTTCAGTATAAAATGTAGATGAGAAGCAACAGAATTACCTTAATGTAAAGCTCATGAACCTCTTGGAAAAAACTTTTTATCCCATCCTCATTACGTGAATCATGAAGCAGCATCAATCTAGTGTGTGGATAGAACTGGTTAAGGAAGACAAAGTATTTACACAGTGCTGGACTATACAAAGAAATTATGATGGTCAACATGTTACTAAATGAGAAAACAGGTTAATCAGAATTGTTAACATGTTCCAACATAAACAAGGCACTTTTATAGAATACAATACAATAATAAAATTAGCAAGTAGCCCATACTGCAAAGAGTATTTGCCATTTAGCTTTCAAAAAAGAATACCTCATTTTCCAACAATCATGTTATTTTATTTACTTCTACAAAAAAAGGCAGAAGTTAACTTTATCACTACTTTGAGAGCTACTGCTCATTTCCTATCCAAAAGATACAAGAATATGTTAGTGTGTTCATCTCCATAAAACTTAAACACCCAAAAAAACTGTTATATAATAAGTTAAGCAGGTATTATCAGCCAAGTCATTTATCCATCAAAAAACAACTGCAACAATAATTTATTTGATAGGATATGACCAGCAGTTACATACACAGACACCACCAAGTCATTGAACCTGTCAATGGCCTTCAAAAACCTGCATGTATCACAGAGATTAAATAAAGCCAAAAAAATACTAATACAGAACAATCAACAAAGACATTGCAGCATACATTATCTATTTTTTATCTGCATGAAACTAATACAAAATATATGTGTAACAATACTGCACTGACACTGTAAGCCTAAGACAAAAAGACTCACATGGCACTTGTTGTCCATGCAAGGTCCTGAACAATATCTAAAGCAGCATGCAAAATAAATTGGTGCTGATGAGCTGCTTCTTCTTTCTGTCACAAAACATCACTAAATAGTGAATAAAACTGTAAGAAACCATGATTAAACAAATATGAAACAGACATTTCCATGAAAATTGTTAAGGAGCACAATTACTAATGGTCAAGGTTGTGGGCATATTTATAGGTCTTTTTATACAGGAATACCACATTTGCATAGGATTATCTTACAGATCCTTCATCGACAGAACCACCAACAATAATTTTTTTAGAAATAAACATATTCTAATTCAAAGACATATAATTGGAACTGCTAATATCGTGTTCTGTACATCTGCAATTCGCATCACTAACACCTCACTGGTTTTTTTTCCTCGAAAATTCAGATTCTTACTGAATATATTCTGCAATGTCAGTTTCTCTTGCATCCTCTTACAGTCATACACTTCGCCTATTTTCTGTCTATATATGTAAAATCATAATTCTGTTTCACCAATAAATCTTCATTAAACAAGTGCATGAGTATAGCTTGTACCCTGCTCATATTATGATATTAAAGGCCTGTAAGCCTCATGTTTGGCCTTACAGAAGAAAGTAACTAGTTTGAGCAAGCCAGCAAGGTTCTCTCACTAGTCCTTTCTGCTCAAAAGGAGAAGAGACATGACTGAAAGGTGCAAACCCAAATTATACGGAACATATTGAGAGCCAAGGAAAGTATGTTGGAACTGTAAATATCAAGATCTATGGAAAAATGAGTGAGGATTCTATTTTACAATTTGCTAAGACTTAAATGATAATAAATCACCTTCAGAACATCATGCTATTACAACTTACAAGAGAGTTGAATTTCACCCTATTTATTTCAATGGTCTTGCACTTGATAAAGAAGATAAAGAAATATACATTTAACTCCCAAGTGTTGGCGAAAGAAAGAAAGAAAACTTCCAAAAGAAGGATAACTCAAAGAATGACAGAGGTGTACATATTCTAATTAATTAACCTGATAAACGTTCAATTCATGAGGAAGTCGAACATCCATGGGTGGGTACGTTGGCCAGTATCTGATAAACGTTCCAATTGTTGTGCTTTGCTATCTATTGGGAGTGGTTAGGCCTTGGTAATCTTAAAATTACTACTAATTGTTGGTAAAATTACTAATTCATATTCATGGATTCATATTGAACCATTCTAACTAGTAACTGTACTAAATTTTAGGGGATTTAGGTTAAGTTTTATATAACAAAATAAAATCTATTTCATAAGAAAAAGAAACAAACTTTAGGGCTTTGAATTCAAGAGAAAGGGGTATAACAAATACAAATTTTGCTCACTTATTTCTCTCTATTGTGATTATGTATATGTAGCAGTAATCCCTTCTTAGATAAGCATAATCTAGAGCAGCCAAGTATATCCGACAAATGAACTATAAGATTTTAAACCCTTTATATTCTCATAAAGAGTTTTATTACAAACAAATGAACTATAAGATTCAGCCTAAATTACAAACAATCAGTAATGCACATAGATTAGGAGGGTAAATTTGCAAATCGGTGGATTTGGATGGAATATACGCAAATAACATAATTTATAATCCAGTAATAATCAACTACAAGAATTTCTTTTTTACGAAAAAATTTATACAATTGAACGATACTTATACGGAATCCAACTCTAACTACTAAATAAACAAGAATTGATCTTGAACATCAATAAAGGATCAATGAAACCCTAACTACATGATAAAGCTTAAAAATCACGATTTCTATGGCAACAAACAAATCCGAACCCTAAAGAATCGCAAACAAACAGATTCAAGACTAATTCAGAACAAGATCATCTCAAATTCATCAAAAAACACAGATTTGAGGAAAGAGAAGGAGAGAAGAAAGGGATCTAGGCGTTTACAGCGTCTCCATCCTTGTCGAACAAGCTGAAGGCCTCCTTGAACTCCGAGATCTGATCTTCCGTCAGCTGATCCGCCATTGAGAGTACTGAGATCGATTGATCGAACAAAAGAGAGATCGAAAAAGAGAAGAGAAGTCGAAAACTTATCGTCAGCGACCGAAAGAAATGAGAAGACCGTCAGGCTTCGTGTTTTGGTTTTGGGAATACGGGTGGGCATATGGGCGAATATAGACCGCCCGTTTAGTACCCATTTAGAATAGTTTGAAATGAACCCGCCCAATTAGACCCATTTAACTAAATGGGTGGGTTTTGGACGGGCCAATTGATGGGCGGGCTAGGTGGGTAAATGGGCATGGGCAAAAATTGCCTTCCCTATGTGTGTGTTTGTGTGTAGATAGGGATATATGATTCTAAGGAGCCACCTTAGATTGAATCTAAGTATGCAACCCTCGATGCATGCATGGATTGGGCTATTCCAATGGATGATCCACTCTATTCATCAAGATTTAAATGTCCTAAAAATCTATAATACAAAAATCATAATGTTTCAAGACTTCTAACATATATTTTTCATTGTTTTTTTAGCTGTATTGTTGTAAAACCGTTAATTTTGCAACTACCTGATGCATGAGTAACTACAATCCAACATGACTAGTTTCTTGTTTATGCACCATCCAAAACATATAGATCAAAATGAACGGAGTGGATTAAGTAAAGTGATTACATATAACATAATTTTCTACGTGCATCTTAGATTTAATCTAAGGTGGCTCATTAGAATCATATTTCCGTTTTTTGAAAAGTAACATGACAGAAGTTTCCTTACCCCATTTTCCTAAAATCCATGAGCTAAACGAACATTTCATTAAAAAAATAAATTTCAAACATCTAAATCCCATCTGTCACCGGTGAGACATCCTGTAAATGGGGTTTCTAGTATTTTTTTTCTCCCTCTTCTTATTCTCGGAACCAAACAGACCCAGTGCAAATTTTACCAAAACACTCGTATTCAATGGAGCGGTAGAGGCTTCAATAGAGAATTTACGAAAGTAATTTATTTATAGTTCGAACTGGTTATCGATAACCTAATTAGAGTTCGAACTGCTCATCTAATACAAATTTGATAGTTAAATTCTGCTTCTGTTGGTTCGGAGAGAGAAAAGTATCACCTCCCCATTGCACTTCCTCCTCCTCCTTCAAAACCCTCATTATCCCCCCCTCACTCCTTCCATGGCGGCCACCACCATCTCCCCATCTCCTTCCCTCCTCTCCTCCCATGCCCACCACCATCAACCGTCCTCTACCCACAACCCAACCACCACCATCTCCGCTCTCAAGCTCGCCACCACCATCGACCAAATCAAGCAAACCCACGCCCACCTCACAAGAACCTCCCCCTCCCTCTCCCCTCTCCTCCCCTCCCTCACTGCCGCCTACTCCAAGCTCTCCACTCCCCTCGGCCTCCACTACGCCCTCAATTCCTTCCAACTCTCCGATGCCCATCTCGGCCTCGACCCCAATCCTGCACTCTTCGCGTTGAACTCCCTTATAAGAGGTTTTTCCTCTTTGGGTTCGGTTAGCGAGGCCATTCGGCTTTATGGGTCGATTCTAGACCGAGGATTGGTACCCGATCGCTTTACTTTCCCACCTCTGTTCGCTGGTCTGACGAAGATTGCATGTTTTGACGAAGGGATTCAGTTTCACGGGGTTGTGATAAAGGTTGGCATTGATTCTGATCCCTTCACTGATAACTCCTTGTTACGCTTTTACGCCGAGTTGGGGGATTTGGCTTCTGCAAAGAAGGTGTTTGATGGAATGTCTGAGAGGAATGTGGTTTCGTGGACCAGTCTTATTGATGGGTATGCGAGAGGGGGCGAGCCGCGAAAGGCTGTTGACTTGTTTTATGAAATGGTGGAGGAGAACAAAATTATGCCCAATTCGGTTACTATGGCTTGTGTTGTTTCGGCTTGTGCGAAATTGCAGGATTTGGAGGTGGGCGAGAGGATCTGTGCTTATATTGCGGAATCCGGGATTGGGTTTAATACGCATTTGGTGAATTCGCTTGCAAACATGTATATGAAATGTGGGGAGGTTGAGAAGGCAAAGAGGTTGTTTAATGAATGTGTTGATAGGAACATTGTCGTTTTTAATACTATGGTGACAAACTTTGCTCGACTGGGGTTTTCGAATGAGGCTTTGTCTTTGTTTCATAAAATGTTGGGTTTGGGACCGAGACCAGATCGAGTCACAGTAGTGGGTGCGGCCTCGGCCTCTGCTCAACTGGGTCAGCTCAAATTTGGGAAACAACTCCATGGATACATTATTCGACATGGATTGGCTTGTTGGGAGTCTGTTAGTAATTCAGTCATTGATATGTACATGAAATGTGGTGATCCTGATGCTGCATTCAGAGTTTTTGAATTGATGCCAAACAGGACCGAGGTTTCTTGGAACACCATTATAAATGGATGTATAAGAAATGGTGATTTTGATTTGGCTTGTAGATATTTCGACATAATGCCAATAAGAGATCTTTTCTCATGGAATACAATGATCAATGCATTAGTGCAAGTAGGCTGGTTCGAAGAGGCGATTTTGTTATTTCGAGCAATGCAACGTGGAGATGTTAGTCCTGATAAAGTGACAATGGTTAGTGTATCTTCTGCATGTGGGTATTTAGGTGCTTTAGACCTCGCCAAATGGGTGTACTCTTACATTGACAAGAAGAAAATAGTATGGAATGTTAAGCTTGGCACTGCATTAGTCGATATGTTTGCCAAGTGCGGTGATTCCAAGAGTGCAATGAAAATCTTTAATCAAATGCCTATAAGAGATGTTTCAGCTTGGACTGCAGCAATTGGAGCAATGGCTGTCGAGGGAAATGGGAAACAAGCACTAGTGCTCTTCAACCAAATGATTACTGAAGGAGTAAAGCCAGATAGTGTGGCATTTGTAGGGGTCTTGACTGCATTGAGCCATGGAGGATTTGTAAAAGAGGGCCGTCAATTTTTCCATTCAATGACAAAAGTTTATGGATTTTCCCCTGAAGTTGTTCATTATGGGTGCATGGTTGATCTTCTTGGTCGAGCGGGGTTGTTAAAGGAAGCTAAAATTTTCATAAAAAACATGACTATCGAGCCTAATGATGTGATATGGGGAGCGTTATTAGCTGCTAGCCGAATACACCATAATCTCAAATTGGCAGAATATGCAGCAAAAAAAGTTATTGAATTAGCCCCAGAGAGGAGTGGAATTCATGTTCTCCTCTCAAATGTTTATGCTTCGGCCGGCAAATGGGAAGATGTTGCGAGAGTGAGATTGGATCTGAAGGACAAAGGCATTCAGAAAGAACCAGGATCGAGCTTAATTGAGATAGATGGAGAGATTCACGAGTTCACTTCTACCAATGAGTCGCATCCCCAAATGGGTTCCATAGCCAAAATGATCGATGAAATGGGGGAGAAACTCTCGGTTTCTGGTCATGTACCAGAGTTGGCTAATGTTCTGTTGAATGTGGATGATGATGAGAAGATGTTTCTTTTGAGTCGGCATAGTGAGAAAATTGCTGTAGCGTTTGGTTTGATCAGTACATCTAGGGGAGCGCCCATTCATGTTGTGAAAAACTTGAGGATTTGTGGTGACTGTCATGAATTTATGAAGCGTGTGTCTGATATATATGAAAGAGAAATTACGGTTAGGGATAATATTCGGTTTCATCATTTCCATCAAGGGCGGTGCTCCTGCAATGATTATTGGTGAAGATGTTGGATGTGAGATTTATACTTGGATTCATACTTTTTATAAGATCATTGGAGGTAGAATGCTATATATATATATGGGGCGAAGCAGCATGTTTTACCTTATGTACAGAAACCTGGTCGCCAAAAAATCAATGAGGTGTACGAGCCACATTTCATTAATTCATAAACTCCCTGGAGGTTTACAATTCATTTTATGAGGATTTTGCATGCATAAGGTAAAGTTGCAAATTATAACAGATGTGTAAGTGTGTTATTACCAAAAATGACTGAGATTGGATAAATTTGATATAACTGGTCTTCAGAAAATTGCTGAGGAAATTCAATATCATCGATCATCAGAAAATTGATTCCTATTTTCATCTTCCAAATGTCCCAGGTAATTTATGCTCCATTAATCCACCATTTACCGATTGGATATTCATATTTATTTGTTTATACTTTATAAATATTTCATTAGACTAGAGAAACACGAAGGAAATATTTATTTCATGAACTAAAAACTTTGATGAACTGGTCTGCTAGATCAAAACAATTTTCCCCACCCGTAAAGTTGATGTTGATATTCTCGCTTAAACGTTAAGCCTGTTAATTTTTGGTGGAAATGGAACTTGATGCTTCTTTGACCTATATGCCCATCTCCTTGACATGTGATGGCTGAAAACTAAAGTAAATGGATCTTTAAGACATTTTTGTTGTGCGCAGCGGAAATTTCGACAGAGTTTCTGGTGCACAATAAGAGAGAAAGATCAATAAGAATTCCCGTCTTACCAAGGAAATAAGAATCTGAAGCGAATATCTCAACAAAGTGAGATATCGGCTCTTCCTCTCATCAGTTCTATGACTGACTTGTCGAGGTATCCTAAAACTATTACAATGGCCACAAACACAAACAAACTAATTTTACGTGGTTCGGCAAACTGCCTACGTCCATGGGGCAAAAAGAGGGGGATCTACTATTAGAGAGGAGAGAATACAACTAGGCTTTACAATCTCACAATTAAAACCCTCAAACAAATACTCTCAAATCTCTCACAAAAAGACAGCAGCCAAATACCCAAAGAACAAGGGGGGGGGGGGGGGGGGATCTACTAATAGAAAGAAAAAGAATACAAATAGGTTTACAACTCTCACAATTAAACCCTCTTGTAGGCTCCTTGCTTTTCTTCACAAGAAAAGGTCAGCCTCCAAAAGCCTTTTTCTCTCTTCACAAAACCCTAAGACTTTTCTCTGTTGCAGCCGCTATTTTTCTTCCCCCTCACTTTTGCTCTCTGCCAGCCCGCCAAAGAAAATGAAAAGCCGACTGCACAACCCTCCTTCACACCAAAACCTAGGTGATTTTTCAGTGTGCATTTATATGCACGAATAATGAACTCGGGTGGGCCGCGGAATCTAAACCGCATCTTCGTGATCTCCCTGCACATGGTGGCCCCCACATCATGTGTGTTCATGAAGCTCTCCGCTCCGCATGAACAACCGCGTTGTTTGATTGTGGCCCCACACACTCGCAATTTTTGTAAAAGATATTGTTAGCTGAGTAAAATAGCTTAGGTTTCATGCCATGAAAAGAGTTCTCAACCTGCAAAATGTGTGATGTTAAAATTACAACCCTCAACAAAACTCCAAAATTTGATGCTGTGAAATGGATCATAAGAAAACGAAAATGAGCTTTAGGAGATGTTCAAGTCTATTGCTCGAATAAAGAAAATAAAAAGTGACATATCCAACTTGCTCAAAAGCAAATACATCACTGTGCTTCATGAAGTCATATTTGTTAAACACAGGTGTGCTATAATGTAGTATCTCAAGCTGAAGTACATATGGTTTCTATGCATAGTGAACGAAACTCCAGGAAGGCAGGTCACTTGATGTCCATGTATAGAGGATGTTGTCCACAGGGTTTGTGCCCGTGAGATATAAGGTGCTTTTTTAACATTTTATTTATTGTAATCGTTGCATGCGTATAATGAATATCTCCAATCCAACTGAATTTCCAATTGACTTTTCGCCTCAGCATCGGCCATATGATAACGCTAGTTCCCCTTGGAGATATTTGCTGCATTTGCATAACCACTGAAGCCTGAAAGTTGGCTGAACGAACTGCAGCGGGGATTTATTCTTTGCAGAAATAGTGATTCAGAATGAGATTTCATAGGGTGTTTTATGCTGGAGAATGAAGCTCAAGCGAAAATGAACAAGGATTTATTGCTGCAACAGATGATAACTCTAAACTTAACGTCCATGATTGGTGCTCCATAAGGAGGAGCTTGGTTCCCTATTTGGGATAGATTTGATGATTATCTGATGCTACTGTTGCTGTTTTTCTTAAGCATTACATACGTAAAACTTTTGACAGAGAATCTACGAAAGGCCCAACTAATGTGTAGTACTTTAGAGGCTCAGGCTCCCTCGTGGGTATTATAAAGTTGCTTTGCCTGTGAAAATTTGAGCTTTACAGTGGCTACTGATTGCAAGTAGAACTTGCAGGCATAGGGAAAAACTGAGTCAATTTTTAAAAAAAATATACTATCTTTTTTTCTCTTTCGGAATCTACACCTTGTTCATAGTCTAGTTTCAGAATTGTTATGAAATTCTAAGATTACTCTGTTTTCAATTAGACGAGAGACATATGTATGGAACCATCGGATAGAAATCTCATACCCACTAAATCAATAACTAAAACCATACTAAATCCGACACTCCCCTTTAAGCTGGAGCTTATATATCTATCATGCCAAGCTTGCTACACAAAATAGAGAACATCTGAGAAGGAGTAGACTTAGTGAGAATATCTGCCAATTGTTCTGAACAGAGAGTAAATGGAGTGCAGATCACATCTTTCACTACAACATCCCTCATGTGACATTTAAAAGATATGTGCTTCGTCTTTTCATGAAAGACAAGATTCTTTGTAATGTAGATAATAGACTGATTATCACAATACATGGACATTACTCCTAGTTGAACAAAACCGAGCTCTATCATAGTTTTTGTTGACATATTAGTATTATTAGGGACTTATTTGTAAATTTCGTAGGGGCCTATATAAAGCCCAAGAGATCTCATAATGTATTAGGGTTTTCATATTCTATAGTTTTTCAACTATATCAGCTCACAAGTAGTATGCGTCATCGCTCTGTGTTTAGTCTCTGCATTGAACCGACATACTACCCTGCTTCTTACATCTCCAAATTACTAGATTACCACCAACAAAAGCACAATATCTAGTGTAGACTTCCTATCCAAAATATCTCCAGCATAGCTCAAGTTTGAATAAATAGTGGTTTGTAAATGTCCATGCTTTTTGTACAGTAAGCTCTTTCCATGAGAGATTTTGATATAGCAAGAACCCTCATAGCTACTCTCTAGCAACCTCTCCAGAGACTGGAAAGTCTCATAACAAAGGATACATCAGAAATAATAATTATAAGATAGATCAACTTGCAAATAAGCCTCATATATTATATGGTGTCCTAAAAAAATATCTCTTTCCTCATCCTAAAAATCCACATATGCTTCTGTCAGGGTGCCGACCATTGTTTGCGGAAAAAGTCGCTGTATTCATTGCTGCATTCATTACAACTTTGATCGTTACAATGAAACAAAAAGATAGTCTTTTTATAAGACCTTTACACAATGAAAACAAAATAAATGCAACTCCTTTCAAACAAACGCAAGAGCTGTTTGTCATCTCTTGCTTGCGTGGGTCTTTGGCCTGTGACGGGGATGTTGATATCCGTGGACCACCGGGGCACTCAGATCTGGTCCGGATAAATCGGACAGAGTTTCGTCTATCTGCGAAGGGATATGGAAACTTTCTGATCCGGATAAATCGGACAGAGCTTCGTCTATCCGCGAAGGGATATAGAAGCTTCGAAGCGTCTATCTCGGCTAAAACGAGATATCAGCTCTTCTTAGTATTAACGCGTACTTACCTGAGCTGGTCGCGGCGGGTGAGATACACCCTTGCAGGGAGGAACCTGGAGGGTTACTTGATAGGAGAGGCGACAGAACCTCAGGAGAACTCGGAGGGAAGAGATGAGTGGAAGTCCACTCATATGTTGGTGTACATCTGGCTTCTTAACTCGTTGGTCCCGACGATCGCCGCCATGGTGGATGGCATTGAGAAGGTGAAGGACGTCTGGGAGAAGTTGAGGAGGACATATGATGGAGTGGTGAATAACCTGAGGGTATTCCAGATTAAAGGAGAGATCGACGCCACAGTCCAGGGAGAGAAGACTGTACAGGAATATGCTACAGAGCTAGAGCGTCTGTGGCTGGATTATGATCATTTTTCTCCCCGGGCTAGCTGCAAGGACCCGGGATGTAAAGAGCGGGAGGCCTTTCTACAAGAGAGGACTATGGTGTTTCTTAAAGGATTGACATCAGAGTTCGCTCGCAGCCTCTAGCAGCACTGGATCTAGGGGAGAGACCCGACAGTGCTATAACTGCGGTGCGGTGGGTCATCTACGGCATGCTTGCACCAAGCCATCCAAGGATGGAGATTCGGGTGGACGTGGACAGTTCGGAGGTCGTGGTCGTGGCCGTGGGGGTCGAAGAGGTGGAAGAGGAGCAGGAAACCGGGCAAATCTGACAGTAGCAGAAGAAGAGGAAGCTGAGGTGGTCTTTACTGAGGAGGATCGTGCTCTCCTGGCGATACTAAGGAAGAAGCAGCAAGTAGTAGGGGATGGAACTGAGGAGGCAACCACTTCATTCTTCGCCAGAGGCAATACTGCTACCTATGCTCATCCGAACAAAGGTACTGATGACATACATGCTCTTGCTTCTATGTCTCCTGACAGATCATCAGCATGGATAGTCGACTCCGATGCATCTCGTCATGTGACAGGTAATGCGAGTGAGTTCTCATCATATACTCACTTAGCATCACCTGATAGTATTCAAACAGCTGATGGTACATTTCAGCCTGTGGTTGGTAAGGGTACAGTTGATTGTACTGGTTCAGTAACTTTGTCCAATGTTTTGCATGCTCCTTCTTTTCCAGTCAATCTTTTATCTATTAGTTCTATCATCCTCCAACTAAAATGCATCGTTTCTTTTGATATTCCCAAGGTGATTTTCCAGGAGAAGGGGACAGGACGGAGACTTGGGACTGGCACATGGCGTAGTGGACTGTGGTATCTGGATCGTGAAGGGCTGGATTCAGCATTGGTGTCAGTCATAGAGGAAGCAGGAGTAGGATCTAAGATGAGTGCTGAAAATGAGTTAATGCTTCATCACCAGCGTTTGGGACACTCATCCTTTAGTGTTTTAGGTAGATTGTATCCTTCTTTATTTGAGAAAGCAAATAAACAGAAACTTGTGTGTGATGCATGTGAGTTTGGAAAGCTTACTAGAAGCTCTTATGTTAGTTCTAGTCATAGAAGTTCTCATGCATTTGACTTGGTACATTCAGATGTTTGGGGGCCTTGTTCCACAAGTTCTATGAATGGATACAAGTATTTTGTTACATTTATTGATTGCTTCTCTCGTGTTACTTGGTTATACCTGATGAAAAATAAGAGTGATGTGTTTGGGTGCTTCCAAAATTTTCATAGGACTGTTCAGACTCAATACGGAGCAGTGGTGAAAGTATTGAGGTCAGATAATGGGACAGAATATACCAACAGAGCCCTTGAAGAATATTTGTCAGCTCAAGGAATACATCACCAGACAACCTGTCCATACACTCCAGCACAGAATGGGGTAGCGGAAAGGAAGAACAGACATCTTTTAGAGGTTGCTAGAAGCATGATGATCTCTATGAATGTCCCAGAGACATTATGGGGACAAGCAGTATTGACCGCAGCAGCGTTGATCAACAGAATGCCCTCGAGAGTGCTGGATTGGAAGTCTCCGTGTGAGATATTGAAAGGAGATAATGGTGGGATCCTTCCACTCAAAGTGTTTGGCTGTGTGTGCTTTGTAAAGGACAACAGGCCGTCTGTCGGGAAGCTTGCCCCTAGAGCTGTGAAGTGTATCTTTGTGGGATATTCTGCTACTTAGAAGGGATATGTTTGCTGGAGCCCGGTGGAAAAAATGTTGTTTGTGAGCATGGATGTGCACTTTCGAGAACTTGAGCCATATTACACTCAGAAGGTAACTTCATCTGCTGGTAACTCGTCCAATACTAGAAGTATGGGGCGAGAGGAGGAGAATGGTGAGAGACCGGAGAACAATGTGGAGAAATCCATTTCTGTAGTGATTCCTTGGGAGGGAGAGTTGGTTGAGGAGGAGCAGGAGAATCACGAAGAAAAGGAAAATGAGACAAGAGGTGTTAGGCCCACTGTTCAGGGGGAGCTACTAACCTATAGCAGGAAGGGCAAACAAATTGGAGAAACAGTACCTACAGTGCCACTAGTGCTGCCAAGTCTCTTGCCAACGCCTACCCCGACTCCTGAAATTCCTACACCACCACCAATTTCATCCCAAGGTGATAACATTCCTACTGATAACATTCCTCTCTCTACTTCTCCCACACCAATATCAGTACGGAGGACTACTCGTAGTAATGCGGGACATCCTCCCGATAGATATGGTTGGGATCTTGCCCAGTATGTATCATATTCTAGTATCCACCCTGCATATGGAGCATTCATTGCATTGGACTCTGTTACTGTACCTAACAATTTGCAGGTTGCTAAGAAGGACCCAAAATGGAAAGCGGCTATGCACGAGGAGCTAGGAGCTCTAGAGAAGAACCGCACTTGGGAGCTAGTAAAGTTACCAGAAGGAAAGAGAGCAGTTGGATGCAAGTGGGTCTTCACTGTGAAGCAGAATCCAGATGGACAAATTGAGTGCTACAAGGCTCGTCTGGTGGCAAAAGGGTATAGTTAGACATATGGCATCGATTATGATGAGACTTTTGCACCGGTGGCGAAGATGAGCACTGTTCGGACCTTAATCTCTCTGGCAGTAAATGGTGGATGGAAGCTACACCAACTAGATGTGAAGAATGCATTTCTTCATGGAGATCTAGTGGAGGAGGTATACATGGAGATACCACCAGGATTTGGTACAGATCAGACAGTGGGAAAGGTCTGCAGATTGAAGAAGTCTCTCTACGGTCTGAAGCAATCTCCCCGTGCTTGGTTCGACAGATTCAGAAGGGCTATGATTGGTATGGTATACCAACAGATCAACGCCGACCATACAGTGTTCTTTCGACGGAGTGGAGGCCATATTACTATGCTCGCGGTATATGTGGATGATATGATTATTACAGGGGATGATGAGAAGGAGATTGCCCAACTCAAAGTGAGACTGGGTAAGGAATTCGAGGTGAAAGATCTTGGCTTGCTTAGATACTTTCTTGGAATAGAGATAGCTCAAGGAGCGGAGGGGATCATCCTA